CCTACCAAGGACGACGCATATCTTAGCGTCTGTGCTGGACTCGCTATTGATTGACTACAAGAGGTCTAAGAAAAAACTTTTGTGCACCAAAATAAACCAACGGAAAGAAAATAACACCTATAGGTGTCTTATAGGAAACTATTACAAAACCATTATGACACCTATAGGTGTCGTTCGTAGCGAAGCTATTAAAGGACTGGATAGTTGGTGTGTTCCTATTCAAACACCGTTGTTTATAGTCGGTCAAAAGACGGTTTAAAACTTCAAAACGTCAGAACACCAAGGAGTTGTACACAACTGACCTGATCAAAAACTTCGTCGAGGAACCGATCCAAGTCATGATTACTATTTGGCACTGGCATGTTGCGAATCTGTGACGCAACTGACACAGTAGAGTGGACACTGGGCACGTAATCGCAGCGACTATTCAGTATTCGTGAGTCGCAACCGCCATCTTGTGCCGGAGAAACAGAGCGAAATGAGTCAAATTTCGGCTGTGAAACAGACTTGATAACGTTGACATCATGAGTTCGATCCTCGCTACTGGATTTGCTGTGATTTCGTGAATTTTCATCGAGATAGTATGAATGCGATGCCGATAACTGTTTCTGTGCACGTTGTTCAATATCTGAAATGTGAATTAGTAAATCCGAATCTTCGTAACACTTTTCGAAAGTTTTCCGAAAATACTATCATATGTTTACTGGAATGTCGTCAAATTATATTCACTTCCGCGTGTGGTCATATGTGGCCGACAGTGAGCTCCATGGTAGAAGTTGGTTACTGGCACTGGCAATGATGGATGCATCGTCATTTGATTTTTTTGATTTCTATGTGTGGATATTACCGCAGGCTGTGGTGTCACCATCACCGGCACATACTGAACCATTGGCTAAAAAGGAAAATCTTGAACAACATTAACAACGTTTTACTTCCTTGCCAAATAAACTCTGCAACGACAGAGCGCTTATCGAACACCTTAGATAGCAATATTTATTCTCGCTTCCTTACATACGACATTTATGAAACATGGCTTGTTTTGTCTCTCTTTGGTAAGGCATTGTCATTTCACTTAAACAGCGGTTTAAGCTACAAAATAGTTCGAAGTTCCCAACAGAATAACTCCCAATTCTAAAGAATTCTTCTGAAGGTTCTAATGATTTAGATGCCATTCAAAACCATCGACAAGATGATAAAGCGATCAAGAGAGCAGATCGCTTCATGCTGAAGATCCATATTTAGCTTGTTGAAGCGAAAGATAAAAAAATTCGAAAGCTATACCGGTGATAGAGAAAGAAAGATAGTCATTCAATAATCAGACAGCAATTAACATACTATGCTTGTAGCGTAATACTGACTGTGTAGATCCACGCCGAGGTGTTCACTCGTTCCATCTTGCATGTCGTTGTGCCTGTAAAGTTTTAAACGTCGAACGAATAAAAGTTGCGAAACGTATTATTTGAGCTGAAAAGCATGCAAGCGATAGAATGAATGGGCTTAAAGTAGAACTGCTCTTAAATAATAAATAATATACTCCACGGACCACTCCGCCACCATGTAAGGACAGAGAGCCTGATTAATTAGAGAAATTTGGTAGAACTACCAAATCTACAAGCACAAACATAGATTCATTTTCTTCGCTACAAGAAACTGTAGCTGAAATAAAAACAAGATTTGAAACATGATCTCACACCTGACGCCTGACTGAGATGAGGTCTCACAAACTGTTGGCTCGAATTTAGACATCTGAAAAATCCATAGTCTTCGTTGTAGGAACAACATTATTATTTATTAATTCTTGTACAAATATTCTCCCATCTTCACCCATTAAAAAACCGAACAGAGCATAGAGCAGTTTTCATTGCACTGGTAATTTGGTGGTAAGGTAAAATTTGGTTTCCCTGATGTTTGGGAAGTCGTGCTAGACTTTTTAAGGGATCGTTACCACTTGCCAGTTAGTGAGTGCCCTTTCGCCTCAATGCGACTGATTTTCGGAACAAGTCAATTCTTATCAGTACTTCAGGATAAAAAGTCTGGACACTTCATAAATTTCTGAGGTCATGAACGGCAACTCAGCGTTTTGCAGCACATCTTAGTTCGACATTTAGCAACACCCTTAGTAATGATGAGGCGGTTTACTATCGAGCATATGACATTAAACGTGAGTGAAGGAATATTTGGCTTATACAACAACTCGCAGTGGAATACCGATGTATCGAGTCAGTGCTACTATCCTCCGAGACAAGGCTAGTACCAATTTACCGATCTCGGAAGAAGAGAAGGCTTGGTGAGCTTGGGGCAGAGATCAATCACATGTGTCTCTAATTACTATGCGCCCCATCGAAGAAATGATTACTCGTGGGCAATGGTGAATCTTCCATTTTTCCCTGTCCCGTACAAGAGTAGCCCAGTGGGCTCTGCTCGCTTTGGGGACTCGTTGAGCATCACACCTTTCTTCTAGGCATTTCGTGAAGAGCCCTAGTAATCGGGTCGACGACCTTCATGGTGTACGTTTGATATATCGCTGAATCCAGTCACTAACTGATATTGTCCATCGGTTGCCGATCATATACATTACGTGTCTTCCAATGCGAATTCGATATCTCTGAGCGATATTTCGTCCTGCTTATGCAGTGATCAGGTTCGTGACCCACACATTTAGACAGGAAGAATCCTGGAGTCCAAAAGGTTGGCATAGAGCCGGGTATTCTTTATTCTCTTTGCTATACCTTCGATGCTCTTGAAAGCTTCCTAAGCCCCTCGCTTCCTCCTGATTTACTAAAGGGCTAATTCGTTCACTATGCTGATTTCGCGACCTAGATAGGAGTAATTTTCGAGATATTCATTTCACTGAGCGTGGATGGGGCAAATACAACGCATCCGTTCCACATCAACATGGTTTTTGTGAGATCTAATCGAACAGCGACTTCTCCACAGTCTTTATCAAAGTTGGGAAGCATTGTTTTCGCTCCGTTAATGTTTGATGTTACAAGAGCGATGTCATCAGCAAAGTGAAAATAGTATAATTTTCGACCATCGATTTTCACTCTCATGCTGTCTCATTCCAGTGTACGCATGGCGTTCTCCAGGGTGGCGGTAAGAATTTTTGGCGAGATGGTATCACCTTGCCTAATCCTTTTGACGTCGATATTAAAATCCCTGAATAGAATGGTGATATACTTGTTGTGAAATATTTATGCACATTATGAAGAATCTTCATATAGTAAGGACGCCCTGGCTGTCAACGCCTCCGACTGCTTCTATCTCAACTGAGTCAAAGGTTTTCTTTAATCGATGAAAGTGAGATAGAGTGGTCTTTTTCACTCTCGCGATACTTCAATGAGCCTTTTTATTGTGTGGATGAAGTTCATCGTACTAAATCCTCTAAAAAATCCGAGATGCGCATATGGTTTCTCGTCGTCCGGTGTTCTATCAGTCCTGTTTTAGGATGACTCGAATAAAAAGTTCGTATACAAAAGAGAACACGCAGATTGGACGATAGTTGCCGATAACGTGGAGGTCACCCTCCTTCAACAATAGCACGACCCTTCTGGTCTTCCACTGAATATTCTGGTTCCTTGATTCTGAGTGGTTACGTGTAAAGTGCCGGGCCAGCGTGCTTGTGAGGACCGGCAGATGGTTGTGCTGGAGTTCGGTGTGTTGTCAATTCTTTATCGACGAAATAGCGTGTCAGATTTTGGAAGGGAGAATCGATGGGGAGATATATCCGTGTTCCTTCATTTCATCTTAGCGCAAAAAATGTGGTTATTCAAGAGACCCGACCAGTAATCGCTAGCGATTTCCTATATTGTCTTTCTGGAACTGTAACTATTCCTTCTAAGCATCGAAGTTTAGTCACCTTGAATTTGTAATTGGTGAAGTTTCGGAGTGCTTTGTGTATCCTTTTCTCAGCCTCTGCATCTTCATCCATAACTGCTGCTCTTTTCTCTTTAAGATGTCCTTTTATCACCTATCTGCATTGTTTTGCGAAATCGGATATGAGCTAGCAGTTGCCTGTACCTAGTGTGATTCCACTTTGGCATAGTAGCTCGAGTGCTTTTGAAGACAGACGTCTTTTGGAGACTTATAAATTCTCAGCTCTCATACCTCCAATGTGAAGGTGTTAAATGAGCCAATCATATTCCTCGTCGATATTGTCAAAAACCGCATCTTCCCAGCAGCGAACTTATGAAATAAAATCTCACTTAATGGTGGCTTTGGAACCTCGTTTCTTGATTTTAGAAGCTTCTTCTTTTCGCTAGAAATGAAATGTTTCGTTATGGGTACGATAGTCTGACTCCGTTTAGAATTTGGGACAACAGCGAAATTGGTTAGGTAAAACCTTGTTTTCTATGATGTTGTTGAAAGTGAAGCTTCCTAATCCCAATTTTTTTCAAATCCAAGAGCTATTTAAAATCAATAAAATTAAATTCTGTGAAAAACGGATTCTTCGCAATCAAAAAATCCTCAGCTACTTAAAAGGCTTCATTACAAAAGATTTGGCTGGTTGAAAAAACACATACCATGTTGCCCGTTGTTGGCGATCTAGGTGACCCAGATGGTTTGTCTTCAGCGCGCCCACTCCCATGGGATATATCCGTAAAGGAACCGTGTTGTGATCGAGATATTGAACCTGGGTTAGGTTAAGAGTTACATTCACTAGGGAGATAAAGAAAATGAAAGAAATGTTGAAGTAATACATACGGTTCAACAGATTCTGTTTCATAGGCAACGCATAGCAGCTCTCCGACTCATGTTCGTCCTCAACTTCGTGGTAAACTGTCCCATATAACTGTGGTGATGTAACGGTAGTCGCTTGCGAGTCAAGCGACCTCTCACGACGTGGTACACCTCGCGACGTGTTCATTACATCCAGTGATCTTGATAATTCACGACTTTCGTTGCACAATTGTCGCATGTGACGTTTAACCACGGGACTCCTTTATAGATTTCATAAGATTAAGTTTGAGAGACATTCCTTCAAATTCGGTTAAAATTACTTACATTTTAACTTGAGTATGTCCAACTTGTAAATCTGTCTTTTTAGAGTTCATTGGAGGTAGTGTTTTCTCGTTGGGATAGTTAAAAAAAAAGGATCTGAAATACATCATCATCCGAACATGATTATTTAACATTTCAAAGCTAAAGAAAACTCCACTAGCTTTTTATTCTCTTCCTTTCCAAGTTCTATTTCCGAAATAACATCGTGCAGAAAATGTGCACCGGTCGGGTGGTAAACCATTTTCTTCGTTTCTACTTCAACACTCCATCCATTTGGATTCCCAATTCCTCTGCGATAGAAGCGATTTTATAAGTCATCTTCACTTCTAGCAAAGCACAACATACCTATGCTGTAAGACTGTATTCACTAGCTTTTCACTCGTAATCCATGAATGGGCTTCAACAACATGAGTCTGTCCATCCTGGCTGGAAACCTCTACAGCTGGATTGCGAAGATTGTAAATAGCTCTCATCTCAAGAACAGATGCTGGTAGAAGACGAGCAATCTGTGACGACAAAACAACTTTTTATCTGAAGTTTACAATAGTTACTTGAAAACTATGAATTAACCCTTATTACAGCGCGCTAACGGAAAATTAGCGCACTGCCTTGTATACCTTGTAAAAAATTACCTTTTCTGTGTTCGAAAATGTTTCAACAAACTATGAAAGAAACTTAAAGAACGCACGACTTCAGCGTGTTCTGCTGGCTTTCGCGCTTTGATGTCGGTAACAGAACCTCGAGTCTCAGGGAGATCATGGTCGCGCTGCTTCACCTATGACGGGCAACCACGATGCCAACTGGAAGAGATTTAAGCGCGACCACATGCGAGCTCACACACCTGTATGTTTTGCTCGGCCTTTGCGCCGTTTCACTACCGCTCTTTTCGAACTTTGAAAAGTTGCTCTAGCGTCAAGAACTTTGCCAATAGCTGCGATCTGTCAAGACTCAAGCAGTTCTTAGGCACTCATTAACCTAAGTTTGCAAAAAAGCTTAGAAAACATGAAAGTAGTGGAACAGTTTCCCGCTTATCCAGTCCATTAAGAAGATAAAATGACGACAACAATATATCACATTGTATCGTATAGAAAATAGATGACTATGCACACTGAAAGCGAATAAACGGATAAATATTTCGTAAAGTTATTCTGTTCATAAGAACTATCCAGTGCTGAGACATTACTTATGTTGTCTAAGATTAAAAATCAAGCGGCTCCGCTATTTCCTCAACCGCGTCATTAATATTCCATGTGAATACTATAAAGATGGTCTCAATCCCAAAATAAAAGGAAAAAGAAAAGTCTGCGAGTAACATGAAGCCGCCGAAATTTTAGGCAGTAAGAATTGAAATGCGTTAAAATGTTCATGTAAGCTCATCAATAACAGTTCTCAGTAACGCTACAATTTACTGCTTAAAAAGAAAGTTTAATCAAAATCGACCTTTAAAATACCTCATAGTTCGGAATAGTCATTCGTCTCGCAATAGTATTCAGTAGTTGTGTTTGGAGAGATGGTCGTTGTTGCCTACAGAAGCTGCAAAAGGAAAGATGTTTTATACTTAAAAGCAAAAAAAGGCTCACTTAAAATGAACTGAAAGTGCTCTTTCAAACTGATTCGTCGTTGTACTCATATGGCTTTCTGTCGCCTTTTTGCAAATCATTTCTCTTCATAGGTTTTATTAAGCACAAGCTTACCTATGGTGCATCCTCTAAACAGACGAATAAAACATAGCATGGAAAACAAGTTAGCCATTACCTGATTAACATCGGAAGTACCAATTTTGTGGGAGCGAATGTTCCGACTGCATGCAACAATAATCGACAACATCTTGACTGAGCTTCTTTATCAGGGTTACGGTGGATTTGATTGCACAACTGCACAAATATCTCGTCTCGTTGACATGGATTTTCGATACCCTGGGTTATTACAAAGCTTCAAATCAAATAAAATGATCTTAACAACGTTACTCAACCATTAACTTCAAGTGGAGAACAGGAACAACGGCGGAGTCACTACGCTTTGAGCTAACATGCAAATTTCAACAACCTTTCTTCAGCAGATTTGAGCATCTTTAAGCGATACTGTTGTCAAGTTAATAAACAGTGGCAAAACTGTTGTATTTAGCCTATTTGCATATCTAGTTTCACTCATTGCCACCTTCTCCTACTCTTCCAATCCATCCCCTATTTACACTATTCAATACCGCATTCAACCCTAGTTCCAACGTACTATTGAAAAAGAAGCGGTATACACTTTAAATCCATCCAGTTGGAAACGACTTGTGACAACGTTGGCAATCAGAATTATTGCTCACAGCCTAACGCACTGCTCAAAGGTGATAGAAGTAATCTTAACAATAATGCAACATACAACTAGTACAAATAATTCTTACCTGCTTTACAATATATCGGCCAAGATCATCTAGTTGTTCCTTGCTCAAAGTCCGATCGTTCATATACTTCAGCACTACCTTGAAGATCTGCAATGAAAGCCGAAAATCGGTATCGTCTCCTTTGTGTAAAAATGGTGTCAGGATCGGTTCCCGTCTGGGTTCGAGAAGATGTCCCTTAACATACAACATATTCACCAGCGATAATGCACACTGTATAAATAGTCACTGATAAACCACAGCAAAGTAGAACCAAGTTCGTTGGCATTTCAAGAGTCCAAATTGTGCTTAACGATAATAAACACCTTTATAATGGTGTTAATAACAACAACAACAATAACAGTAATAATAATGATAATAGCTGTAGTAATATTTTAATAATAATACTAGAAAAACAATAATATTGATACCAATATTAACAGTGTTAATAATAATAATAGTGATAATAATAATAGCAACACCAGATTTCCAAAGACCGACTTTCTGTTAACCTCGACATTGTACTATAAGTTGAGGTTTTCTTTTTGAGCAAAGACAAAGTTGTTAAAAAAAGATTTATTCGATATTCCATTGATTTCGACGGTTCACTCTTCCGAGAGCTTAAAAAGCTCAAATTTTACACACAATCTACTCGGCCAAGCGCTTTCATAACCCCAACAGAAAAACTCAATATCTAAATTTCATTTGTACAGTAAATAGCTTCTTTTAAACACTCAGCATTTTCCCTTTCATAGGAATTCCATTTATCGAAGAAGAACAGTCGCACAGCGTCCAACATAACCAAGGAATATGCTGGCTCAGGTCAAAAAGATTAGTCTGAGGTATGAGGCAAGGGTATGCGTGGGTGACAGGGCGATCCTCTTTGTAGGCCACTTTTGGAATCTATTCAAATTCAGTAGTTTTGCATGCTGACATTTTATGCACCTGTGCGAGAATGCTGACTTTTACATCAGAATTTTTTATATTTTGTCCTAAGTTTTCAAAGCTTTTTTTATGCTTAAAGAAAAACAAAACCAAACACATATAGAACACAAAAGATAATGTAGCCACTAAAAGTCACTATACTGGCGCAGGAATCGAAAACATCAGCGTGGAAAACTCTACTGGAACTTTAGGTAGATTCTAAAATTTCAAAGATAAACCGCAGCCTTGTAATTACGTGCATGTCGACCTATACCTCAAGGTGATTTGTTGACCTGGATCACACTCATTCCTCAACCATGTAGGACTCGGTTTCCGTCAACAACCGGAGGACATATAGAAAAGAAAGTGCTAAATACTTAAAAGAAACTGTTTATCCTAAGACTGAAATTTAGGCAATGAGTTTTTCTGCTGGGGTATGAATGTGTTTGGATGAGTAGTTTGCGTGTCAATTTGAGATTTCCAGGCTTCGAAGAAGACGAAACGACTGAAAGACTAGCCAGTACTACATAAATTTGTAATTAACAACGTCATGTCTTCTCAAGAAGAAATGATCAATTTCAATAACTTACAATAACTAATACTACAATAAGCCTAATGGCACACCTTAATAATGACTGATTACATAACTACAATTAATAAACAGCAAAAAACCTTGAAATTCTCCACTGCAAATTCCTCGATTGACACGGGTTCGACTGTATCCATGTGACTTTTCAATTTTAGCGGTAGATAGTCCGTGGTAGTTTTTATATTGTTAACCATTGGGTTCGATCGTTTCAGTGAGTTTCCAATCTCCTTACATGTCATACTCTCGAGGTCGAAACAACCAAGTAACGCTGATGAGCACTTCTGCAGTGATCAGTTAATACTCGTTCAAGTATTTTCGAGAATTTTTTGATCAGCACGCGCACCTGATTGGAATGTCCACTCATAAGCGCTTCATGATATACGTTTAGGCGATGGTTCAGTTTTGTTTCACTGCTTAGTTTCTTGAAAGTCTGCTCACGAAGAATACAGGACTCTTTCCTGAAAGTAGGAATACGAATATGATTCACCACAGAATTGCAAGCACCGATAAAAGGGGACGTTATAGTGGATAGAAGACTACGCCCATGACTACGTATAGCTCTTAAAAGCAAATCGTAATTAACGAAAATGTTTGGTTGTGAAAGAAAAATAAGATTAGATGATCGAAATTATGTTCACCGGTTATCTACATTGCCTGTTTTCCCGTTGATCGTCGAGTAAAACTCGAACAGGTACCAGATAATTTTCCATTTTTCTCCAGAGCGTTCAAGATTAGTCCAAAGAGTCTAGTATCGCATTCTTTTTCAAGGATTACCGTGAAGAACTGTGACATTCAGCTCAATGGTCTTCCTGCAGTACTTTTGACTTTTTGAAGAGTACACACTTACTACCTAACAACTCTTACCCGTCGGCTGTCGTTCATACGCATTAGTTGTCCGGGCCACCTTATCTTCTACAGTTTATCTTAGTGAACTGTGTTTTTGATTTTTGATTGTTGACGTAGATCGGAGCTTCTGATCCCTTTCCTCACTTGCGCGATAGGAGATATCTCTAGCATCGCCTCTTCGACTGCACGTTCTATAATATAACTCTGAGTGGTCTTTTATACTGCTTACATAGCGACTAGCTTTCTGACGGGCACGCCAAACAAGGAAGCATCGTAGAATGGGAAAGGTAGGCGTGGAGTCGGGTTTACTCCGTTTTCCTCAATTCTCGATGATCTTGAATGCTCTCAAAGCCGCTGCCTTCCTTATACTCAACACTGGAGCGATATCATTCATGACGTTGATTTCTCGACCTAGATCTAGACACATAAATGGAAAAATCGGAGGCAACAGAAACTTTATGTGTGTATACAGCACAACAGAGCCATCCATCAATTCCTCATTAACCTCGTTTTTGTGGGATTTAGTTGAAGAACAATCTTTCCACAGACGTTACCACCGTCGACAAGCATTCGTTACGTCTGGCTAATGCTCGATTTTTTACGAACAGTGTCAACAGCGAAATGAAGATGATGTAATTGCCGACTATGGAAATTCACACCCATGTTTTTTCCCTCAAATGTTCATAATGTTCTCGAGTGTGCAGTAAGTTAAGTTTGACGTGGTGGTATCGCATTTCCTTACATGTCTTTTAATGACGATGTTAATATCTACATAAAATGGTGGTGTTTTTGTTGTGGAAGTTTTACACAGGTTATGGAGAATCTTAATACAGAGAGTTTGTACGCCCTGGATGCCCAGCCCTTCCATGGCTGCTTCTATCTCAACTGAGTCAAAAGCCTTTTTTAGATCGGTAAAAGTGAGACAGAGCGGTCTTTTGTACTACCGCGATACTTGAATGAGTGTTATTATCGTATAAATGTGGTCCATCGTAGTGAGACGTTCTCGAAACTTTGCTTGCTGACATGGTCCTCCTTCATCTAGTCCTATGTCAATCGTCTTCAGAATGACGCTAGCGAAGTTTTTGTAGGCGATGCACAGCAAACAAATTGGGCGTTAGTTACCGATACCGGACAGACCACCCTTTTTGAAAAATAACCTAGCCTTTCTGGTCTTCCACTGAGCAGAAATCTTGCACTTTGACAGGTAATGTGTGAACAGCCGGATCAGTGAGTTTGTGAGGACTGGCATAAGGCTGTTCAGGTGTTCACATGTTATCATATCCAGAATAAGTGCTGCCTGATTCATAAGGGACGAAAAAGCACATCAAATTTTGAAACGGAGAATCAGCGAGACGACATATCCATTCTCCTTTATTTGGCAAAAAGGAAGTAAGACATAGATACTGAAGAGATCCGACTAGTAATAGGGAAAAATTCCTTTTATTGCCTTTCTGGAAGCTGTAACTGTCCTGTCCGGAAGTCAGAGTGCAAATGTCATGGCTTTGTGATAGGTGACGCTTCAGTGAGCTTTGCAAATGTTTTTCCAGCCCCTGCAGCTTTGCCCATAATTGCTGCTCTTCTCTCTTTAACATCTTCTTTTATAACCTGTCTGCATTGTTTCGCAAGTTCACACTTGAGTTGCCGGCTGTTTGCAGCTCGTGCGATGGCACGTTGACGTTTCAGCCCGAGTGTTTCTGGAGACAAACGTCTCTTGGTGACTTTAGAACTCTCAGCTTTCATGGCCCTAATGTGAAGATGTTAAATGAGCAGATATTCCTCGTTGATGTTATCGACAACAGCATCTTCCCAACAGCCGACTAATGAATTGAATAAGTCCCAGTTTATGGTAGTTCTGGAATTTCGGTTTCTGAATTTAGCGGCTTCTTCCCTTTCCGTGAAAAACCAAATCTCGCAGGAAGAACGCGACGGTTTCATCCTGCGTAAAATTTTGGGACAACAGCGAGATCGATAAGGCAAAACATTCGACTTGCTATGAAGTGGTCTCTTTCGCTAATGTGCTCTCCTTTGGAAGACTTCTTTGTCCAGCATTGCCAGTATGGGGTCTAGAATTGCCAGTTACCATGAACGATCTTGGTCGTCATGATAAACTCAGGCAGCTGTTCATCCTAGTCCTTGCATTTTAATCCGTAAGACCCAGTGTGCACCCTTTTACAACTTCCTCCCAGTTTATTCTTAACTCTAGATTTCCAATTATGACCTATAATAATGTATGGTTTTCTGTGTAGAAATTCTCCAAGTCTATGTAGACAGCTTCCACTTATCTTCATCATAGCTTGATGTCGTTGAGTAGACGGGGAATATTGTCAAAGCCGGTAATAATCAACATATCTTAACCCTTTTATTTGCTGCCTTTTTCTTTTTAATGGCAGGGTATCTTGCGAAATATAACTCGTATATAATGCTGAGATGTTTGTATAACTCCGGACCGCAGGTGTATGCGGTGGGGAACGAACGCGCGCTATTGTCCTTTCCGGGGAGTAGCGCACTTCACCACCACACCATCCTGCTCCTTCGCTTTGCATGTCTCTCAGCTAGTTCTATTGATCTTCTGCCATCAGCAATCACCCGTCAATGGGATTGACCTGGAGAAGAGGAAAAAGGATCAATAGAACTAGCTGAGAGACAGGCAAAACGAAGGACCCGAATGGTGTGGTGGTGAAGTGTGCTGCTCCCCGGTAAGGACAATAGCGCGCGTTCGTTCCCCACCGCATACACCTGTGGTCCGGAATTTTGCAAATATATCAGCATTATATACGAATCAACATATCTTTTATTGTAAACTTCCAATTCGGGTTTTTAGTCTTTCGAATGGATTATGTTCATGAACAAACTCGTGTTGATTACAACGCCAAAGCTGCCAACTCTCACATATTGCGAGCAACACTTCTTCTCCGGTGTCAAAGACAGCGTTGAATAGTGTGCTCTTTTTCCTCGTAAGCCAGTGTGGTGACGTCGTGCTTTATCCTTCTTTCCTGCATGATCATATCCTCCATCGAGGATTCAGATGCAAGCAAGCGTGCATTGTAGGTACAAATCATCAAATTAGCTTTTCGAGATTTAGGCAGCCTAGAACGGCCTTCACATTTTAGCACCCTCTCCGTGCTCCTCTTGTCCAACGCTGCGAAATCTTGGGCTTTTTCGGGGCCAATGGAATGAGGCCTGTTTATTTTGCTGTGCTTACCCTTTCCCTTCCCACATAGGGCTTTTTGAGCTCTGGAAGTGGGGTAGGTATAGTCCTGGGTAGGTTACTAGTGTCTCTCAGAGCAAATGAGGAGCTTATTTGTTGGTGGCCACTCTTAGCAGCCTTCCATTTACTTCCGTGCCAATTGATTGCAGCTTTTTGGCAGAATTGCGTCGTAAAATACAATGCCAATAAACGAGAGCACACCCACACATGCGTGCATAAATATGCCGTCGTAAACACAGAAGGTATGTGCCAAATCGGTGCAACAGGAAAAACGAGTCCATGCCCTAGACTCACCTGCTCCTCAGCGAACCATTAGGTCGTATGTCGCTTTTTGTCTGCGATTAACCCCTATCCATCATCTGGGAAAGCGCCACGTTAGCTTGCGACTAACCCGCATGGGATAAACTCTATGAGGGGATCCGTTGTAAAATTACGGTAGAAGAAATGATAAACAAAGTTGAACTAATGTTGTCTTAATTTTGGAACATTTCGCTCTTAAAAAACTTACGAACTTGTACACTCCTCGCAGCATTGTCCTATTTCACGTAATTTTCGAATAATGTGAAAATAACTGCATTAATAAAAAGTATCCGTGTTAAGACAAAAATCACCTCGCCTTCCAACTTCGAACTCCGGCCTGAATCCGAACTACGGCATTACGTTTACGAAGGTATTCCTTTCGCACTACGTACATACGAATTGTCTTCTGAATGACGTAGGCAGCATCGCGTTGGATTCTTTCGGAAGTCGTCTGCAGTTGATCGGCAAGTCGATCACGCAGGAACACATAGTTGGTCCCTGGAAACGTTATACAATATCCCTAATAATGAGATTCAAAAGTACGAGCAAAAAAAAATCACTTACCAATTCGAAACTCATTCACAAACTTGACACCTTGTCCATCAAGAATATCAATAATAATTTCTTTCTGATTCTGACAAAGAGCAATTTCAGACGGCAAAAGGCAGCGGTAACTGAAAAGAATAAAAGCCAGGTCAGAAGAAAAAACCTTAGAAGCTAGAAGTTAGTAACATGACATTATTCCATGATGATACTCATTATTTTTCGGCTAACAAATACTCTTTCGCTTTCTAATAAGCCTAATTCGAATGGATTAAAATTTCATTTATATGCGTCCGGCTTCGATTAATATTTATTGATTTAGTTAGCACTGTGCCCAGCTTTCCCACGATGAGAAACCACGCCTCCGGATACGAACAAACAGCGACAATATTCTTAGTTGTTAAGTGAATTTCTTTAATACCGTCAATAATCCAAGAGTTTCCTATGTGACAGCAGTCGAATTCGACAACGCCACAAAGCCATTTAGAAAGGGATGGGAATATTGTAAACACTTTCTTGCAAAGAAGATTTTGAAATTGGAACGTTTTGACCCAATGCTATTGTTCTAGGAAGCGACTGACGAAAATCACAGAAGATATAGAGAAATCATAGATTAGGAGAGATATATTAAAAGCTACAGTCTTTCTTCAGAAGAAAAATTCATGGCTAAGATGCACTAGCCAAGCGAAAGGAATAACAAATAGAGATAGTTGGATGAATCTGGAGTAGACCATAGACCCCAGGCAATTATTAAAAATCAGCCACAAACTCAGAAATACAAAACTTTTATGGCATTAATTTAAAAGTCAAAAAAGTATACAACTAAACGAAGAAGAAAAGGCGTACGAGTGATTCGCTTGCGGTGGCCGTTGTTCGGCCAATCGATTGCTCTATGACCAACAAATTATCACAGTGTTAAAATACCTCTGCGTGAATCGCTTAAATGGAATTCGTAATGGAAATCCTATTTGTCGAAAATGTAGTGTTTCCAGGACAGAGAAAGCCTTCAGTTGACGAGCCAATGTTGCTGGGTCGAGGCTGGCCGGACGACGCTCGTTGTTTGATTTCAGGCAGCGAACGAAGTGTGACTGACTACTGCAACACCAGATTTGGTAGATCTTCCACCAGAGTATTAGACATTGTGTAAACAATGATATTCTTGCTTTTGGACTAAACAGAGGATTTAAACATGGTTGTAAAGGTGAGAAAGTGCTGTGGTTCATATGCTTGTACATTTAGAACAAAATGCCAGCGACGCAGATAAAGGATAAAAAACGACAAAGCTCTCGGCATTGATCAATACCTGAGGGATGCGCCATGCACTCGACTTCATTAAGCATCGTTTGGAAGTGATTGAATGCATATCTGGCCTTTACAATAACTCGCGGTGGTCTACCGATGTATCGAGCCAGTGCTGCTATCCTACCAGACAAGTCTGGTACCAAGTTGCTGATCTCGGAGGGATGGAGAGCTTAGTGGGCATGGGGTTCGGGGAACGCTCCTGTTTGTATTGCAGGGCGCCACCGACCACTGCACTACACGCGTCCATAACGACGCAGATACCATTTACAATCATCGGTGGTCGTTTACAGATTCGTTGATAAACGTTTATGTGGAAATGCTGTCATTCATTGTAAGATGTAATCACCTAAGGATTTTTTCAGTCAACGCAGTTGAACTTGTATTGAATTGATTTGCGGCATACACATTGTAGTTGGCATTCTCTCGATCTCCTGCGATTGATCGAAATAACATAGAAATCACCTGAAAATAGTGGATAGAACTCCATAAAGGTTGCTGCAAATATTTGGATTTTAAATTTAGTGCAACTCAGTAATATCGTCCCATAAACCACAATGGTCCGACGATTATCCATTAATATATATATATATACAGAAGTCATGAGGATATATACTTATTCCATACTTAAATGCTCCATCCGCATAAAGAATCTCGTTATCATCATCACATTCTTTGTATAGTTAGACTGCACGCATTCTATTGGTTTCTCAACGATGCGTACCTAGCGGTTCCAAATAATACCCAGATAGAAGGACTAGGACTTTTACAGGTCGACAACACAAGATTGTCACACTCCTTTTTAGCTTGGATGACCGTATCAAATACGTAAACATTTTATTGCACATTGTAGACAAACAAATTAGCAAGATCTACCTTTTGACTTAATTGACTGTTCAGTAGCAGAAGCAAATAATTACGAGAAAATACTGTTTAAAAGTGCTAAATTGAGCTGTATATATCTTTTTATCACAGATAATCTGTTAAGGATGAAGCAGGCTTCGGAACCATTTACAAGTTATTGTTTGCCAGACAAGATTGACCGCTCCCACAACATAGCATAACGTAGAGACCAGCCTTATCACGATAACATTAGTCTGTAGCACTCACCGTGTTTTGGCTCCTGGACAGAACACTGGCAATTTGAGTGGGTAAGGAACGTCTGTTTCGTTGTACAAAACCGTGGACGCTATACCATGTCGTGCCGAATGAATGCCGGATCGACAACTGTTGCTTATCCTTATTTTTCGCCTAAACAGAATAATTCTGAGTTGCTTCTAAAATTCGAAGAAAAAACTACTTCAAAAAGAGAAAACTAGTAAATACCTTTCCGTAAACGTTTTTATCCAGATGATTGAGATTGCAATGCCGAAGATACGACTCGTCAGACGTCTACAGATGTATAAAAGTAAAGTAAGTCTTGCAAAAAGATACTGTCGTAAAAACATGCTGTCGTAAAAGTATGGAGCTATTTACTTTAGGAAATACTAATGCAGAGTACAAATCAGTGCACACCTTGGGAAATTTGCACTCATCATTGATAAGATGTAGGAGGCCGTTTGGTTTTCTGCATAGCAAATCAATAACTTTGTCATTTTCCAACGTCGGTGGGATCTGAAAAGCTAGGGCTATTGAAAACCAGTAGGGAAAATTTTGCCTGTAGGAAAAATTTTTCCAGTTATCAGCACCCCTTTACGCCTTCATTTGGTTTGTAGATGGTTGTATGTACAAAGTGTGACGGACTACATCATCTCAAAGGCGGAATAATGTAGGTTGGAAAAGAGTTCAACATTTGTATCCGGTGTCATGGCTAAAGCCAAACTAAAACTCACGAACTTGACGTCCGTGTTAAACTGTGAACGCTTCCTATTGCTCCATTTCATTTGTCATCTCAAAAGAAAAGGTATCGGTAACGAGGAGATGTGACCGCGCCTGCTTGTTTATTTGATCGCAAGGTCGTTGCGGTTGCTCTAGGTGAGATTAAGCCTAACATCTCACATTCGTAGGGGATTTTGCGCATTACCAGCCTAGCGACCTCCGAGCTGAAATATAACCGGCGAACACTACACTTTAGACTTCCTAGGTTAGGTCCTCAGAAAAACAGAGAAGAGCTATGACGAAAAGTAATCAATCCTCGTCGAGAGCGACCACTTCGAATAAGAGCGAACAAAATTCTACTTAACGCCGGACTGGTATGCTAACAACTGGATGCGATGTTGTAGGTAGTCCAATGGTACTCACAGCTTATACACGAAGGAAGCAGGTTGCTTTCATGAATTTCAGTTGTGAAGCAACATACAAAGCTTAATAGCTTTGTATGTTGCTAAAAGCTCGCTCAGCGTTGATCAATCCCTTAGGTATGCGCCATGAATTCGACTTCATTAAGTATCGTTGGGGCGATTGAATGCATATCTGGCCTTTACAATGACTCGTGGTGGCCTACAGATGCACCGAGCTAGTGCTGCTCTCCTCCCAGGCAAGTTTGGTACCAATTTGCCGAACGTGGAGAGATGGAAGGCTTGGTAGACCTGGGCATCGGGAATCGATCCCATGTGTACTGCACGGCAACTCCGAGCACTGCGCCTCGTGCGCCCTTGTGAAGCAGCATAACAAATAAAAATTGTGGTGTAGTTCACACGCTTAGTTGAAGTCCTGTTTCCAGGTTTCCAAGTACGGAATAAAAATGTAATAAAAAAGTATAAGTGTAAATCGCAATAAACTGTATAGCAGAGGATTTGAAAGAGAATGTCGTAAAATGTTCTGGTGACATAACGCGATGTGAAGAACTCCAAACATTAAACTCGTTCCGTGACCAGTTTTATTCTATGTTTTCATTGCGAAATTTTTATCGATAGACAAAATTTCAATGGGTGGCAATTATTAGACCATATCCAATTAAGGACGCGTGTGGCGCAGTGGTTGGAGGCGCCACTGCGACACACACGTGGAATCCATCCCCGCGCCCATTGCTCATCATACCTTCCATCTCTTCGAGGTAGACAAATTGGTAGCAGACTTGTCTGGGAAGATAGCAGCACTGGCTCGATACATCGGTAGGCCACCGCGAGTCATTGTAAAGTCCAGATATGCATTCAATTACCTCCAACGGTACTTAGTGAAGTCGAATGCATGGCGCATTCCTCAGGTATTGATCAACGCCGAGAGTTTTATGCTTTACCCTTTATATCCAATTAATCAAAAGCGAAAACCAATATAGCACGATATATTTTGTTTTCTCACCTTTACGTCTTCCTCTGTTTTTTTGCCCTTTTAATGAGATAAAAATTGCATTACCTTCCAGTCGAATATCAGGCCTTCACTAGCATAGTTCGCCATTTCATTTATAAATGTTTGCTTTATGAAAACGTTCTCCAACTTCTCATTTACAGTGTTAATCAGTAGCTGTTCCAAGCCATTATTGTTATAGCGCTGAAATGAACACTTTTGTTGTGGGTTACAAATTAGCTCTTCTAAACAACTTGCCTCAATACCATAACAGTCAATGACACTGATAACGGCATTATAGTCAGCACATTTGAAGTGTGACGAGATCTTATTCACAATCCAACTGAACAGAACTTCATAGAGAGTCATAGCTACAGCATCTCGGGTATCAAGAGCTTGACTCATGTTACATGCCGTTTTCGCAAAACCCTCATTCGTTTTCTGAAGCATGTGAAGTCATTTCACTTACCGTTTTCCTAATCCGCATTTCACTCACTAAACATAATCCTCATGAAATACAAAAAATACATATCTCTTATCCAATATTGTAAAAACATGATCAGAATAAACTTTAAGTCTTTGGCTTTCTTCAAATTAAGGCACTCAAACCGCTTAATCGTGAAGCCACAATGGGCTGGCCCAGTTTCTTTAGCGGTTGAAATTGTAGAAAAGTAAGCGTGAACCAACTGAGATACACAGGTAATTCATGTAATTGTCTCGCTCTATCAACAACGCTGAATGTGCTTTTACCATCCATACACACGTACTCTTAACAATGAATGGAGTGCTGAGTACGTTTATACGGATCTAATCCTGCACTTAAATAAAGTCACCGAAAAGTACATAACCAGTTTGAGATCGCAAAAGAAATTAAGCACTACATCCGCACCGGTAGAGTTGAAAAGTTATTCGTCAGTATACTCAGCCACAAAACAAAAAGTGTCAAGAGGTGCCCGTGGAATCCCTCTCACCAAACACACTGAAGACTGATAGTCAAATGTGAGAAATATGATGGCTTTCAGGTGTGCTAAACCACAGTGTACCTCCACTAGCCAACACTCGCATGCATCAGAGAGGAGTAAGAAGAGTTATTGACAACAAGTCAATTAATTCGATGATTAACAAGACTACATTGATGAAATTAACAATCTATGAAGCTTCATGGCTCAAAATACGCAAACATACTGTAATTTTCTGTGTGAAACATGGAACGAGGCGATTTATGTCCACTTCAAGTAAGTAGGAAGTCCACTTCAATTCGACATCATTGCCCACTTCCACATAGTCAGATTCGCTTTGAATGTTCTGTAAGTGAATATTTTTAATGCTTCTTTTAAAACTACAATATAAAAGGGCTTCGTGACCATTCATGTCACGACGTTGGTGATAACAAATTCAAAACTAAGCAAGCTTTTCTGAAAATGCTCCACCTCCCCTATGATTTTGCGAGGAAACCGCCGTAATTTATCGTCGTTCTGAGACATAACTAAGCGACATGATTAAAAAAAGGATAGACTCGGTGTTCCTCAATCCCTGAGGGATGCGCCATGCACTCGACTTCATTAAGCATCGCTTGGAGATGACTGAATGCATATCCGATCTTTACAACGAATCGCGGTGGCGTACCGATGTATCGAGGCAGTGCTCTTATTTTCCCAGACAAGTCTGGTACCAATTTGCCGATCTCGAGGGATGGAAGGCTTGGTGGGCCATGAGCTCCGGGACCGACTTCACGTGTGTATTGCAGGGCGCCTCCCACCACTTCGCCAAACAGGCCATAGCGGCACGATTCATAGTACTAATAGCTTAAAAATTTGAACAAACAGACCATTAATATATTTAACTATGCGAAGGTACTAAGAGGTAGTTCATTCATAGGAATTATTCTAACGCACCCTTCGCTGCTTGAAATACATGTTTCCAAGATGCAAAATAGTGGCTAGAATCTTGTATATGGTCTGTCGTTGTTCGTCGGAGAATCCGACAATCTCCAGTGACGAATCAAGTCGTCCAAATTTGTCGAAGTCGTCCTGAGCAATATTTGCGACCTTGCCCTGCAAATATCTCTTTCGCGTTCACATCATTCTCACACGTTCATCTCACTCAACAACAGTTATAAATCGCCTCGTGTCGTTGGTGCTCAATAACCGCTGACATTTCGTGATACGCTAGAAATTTGCTTTACTAAACGAACATTTCAAAGTAGTAATTCCACTTATTTCACTGGCTGGTTAAAAAAGTGTTATGCCCTTCATAGAAACAATAACCCCTAATAACGGTTTCGAGCTGTCTGTGAACTGTGAATAAAAGCACTAACTTACTTGGATACTTGGAAAACCCGTCCCCAATGGTTGTGCGGGCCACATCATAATCACCATTTTTCGGAGTTTTGCTGGTTTAGCCATTGTTGCTACCATGAGTCCCGAGGTCAGCCAGGCCAAAGTTGTTGAGTTGTTGTTATAACTGTTGTTGAGTGAGATGGTTTGGCCTAGGTCGTCACCACCAGATGCAGTCGCTGCCCTTGTGTATCAGGGGGAGATTCGCCACCATCCCACTAGTTTGATACCGGGACGGTGACGGATCCTGGTGTTGGTTTACTCTTAGCTGGGCTTCCTGATGGAAACGGCGGATTCATTCTCAGCCTGGGAGACCGTGCCAGGAGGATGAATACTCCAACTGTACATCACAGCTCGACACCCAGGAACACTTCCCAGCCACGATGAGGTGGCGAACAGTTGGGTGGGAAGATGTGCTAAGTACGAAAGTACGACTGAGGAGAATAAACCTTAACATCGGACAAAAGGAAAACAACTTATCGCTTCAGTAATGTTCAGGTAGTCAGCAAGAAACGAATGCGAAGACTCGAATACGAACAGCGTTACGGTATCACGCTCTCTCTATGACGAAGTACAAAAGGCATTATTAACATTTACGCGGCGACGTGAATTCTACAAGACTTATTTAGTAGAGGACAAAGTGAACGTCACAGCCTCTATAGATTTAATTTTGCTTTCGCTAGTTTGCTTTGGTACATAGGACTGTTCTCATACAACGTACCTCATTTCAATGATAATCTAACACGAGGGTGCTACTAAACATTAGATCGGCTAAAGTTTAGACGAATTCGTGTTCCCAAAAGCCGATGAGCCGTTTTCATAAAGCTCTCATAATCAGTCGAATAGCTCAGCATAGACATTGTGGCGGAAGTTTGGCGAGGAAATCTGTACTATTTCAGTTCTTTTCGCCATGTATGGTTTAGCGGGGGTGGGTGCAAAAAAAAAACGGAAATAAACTCACTACATACAACGCACTTCCGAATGCTGACAGCAAAGTGCTGAGGGACTGTGCCAACATGTAGTAAACAGTACAATATATAGAGCTTATATCCTTATAGCGTTAAAGTCTTGTACTATTCCGCAGTGTTCCTTAAACTATCAAGTCCTCTAGTTATCGAAATACTATCATTCATTGTCAAAAAACCAGAAATTTCTTAATGGCATGAAATTCGGCGTCGTCCATCACGGCAATTATGCAAATTAGGCGACGTCGCATACGTGTTAAAGCAACCTTTTGAGCTTTATAACTTATCCTAACATAAAAACGTGAAGTGTCAAAATAAGTGGATCCTACAGATAAGAGCTGGTTATAAGGCCAAAGAACGATGTTGAAATCGGGCTACCCAAACATCTGGAAACCATGTCGCATGCCTTAAGCTCCAATGCTTATCATTAAACAGCGCCGCAGTACGATAAATAGGCACAAATCACATTACTGGGATTTAAAGTGATGTCGAACGAATCAAGTAAAGGGAGAAAGGCGAAGCTTATGCAGTCGATCAAGCCCTAAGAGATACGTCGTGTATTCGACATCTTCAGGCATCATTACAGGCGATCTAGTGCATAACTTGCCCACACAGCTCCTCACAGTACCCTGTCGATGTATTGAATCAGTGCTTTTACCCTTCCAGACAAATCTGGTACTAAGTTGCCAACTCCGGAGGGATGGAAGAGATGGTGGGCCGATAACGCGCGAGATCGAACCGCAGTCGACATCTGTATCGCAGGAAACATGTAACTATCGCACTAAATTCGCCCAAGGGTCTGCAGCTATGTGCGCTGACAATAACCATGTTTTTGAATAGTATTGTTTCTACTAAAAGAGCGAGGGTAGCACAGAGATTAGTGACGCCGTCGATCAGGAAGGAAAAGGCTCCAGTTCGATGTCCGCTTCAGCGTCCTCCCCAAATCATAGGGGAACGCTCTAGCCCGGATATCTCTGAGAATGCAAGAAGAATTGACTTCAGAACCATTACACGACATCCATAAAAAAGACCAAATCCTCAAGTATCAGTTGAAAGAACATGCAAAATCTTCGAAGACCATTGTGGGCGATGAATGAGGGCGACGAAATACAGTCGAGCGCAAGAAATAATGGGTTCCGCACGGTAGATGCGATGAGAGGTAATGTAAAAAAAAATTCTCCACCGAAGAGTGTTATACTCTTGTAATAGCACTAACCTGTGACAGATAAAAGAATTTCTGTTGTTCACGAATACCGTAGGTGGCTTTGACGTCGGATGGCATGCCAGCACATATTTCGTAGAAGACGTTGAAATTACGTTCACCCGGTTTCTGCGAAACAACCCGTGTTGTTTCCAATGGTAATGCATTACACACATTCAATCCGACAACGTGATTTCTGAAATGTCTGTTTCTCAGTATCATTAATAATTTTAAATTTATTACACAATATTATTCTTCGCAAAAGTTATCACACTTACTTCTTGTATAGGAATTCCACATGGTAACCAAAACGGGTTGCATCGTCATTCTTTGTGGTTTTAGCGCAACCAAAGCTGTTGAAGATGTTCTTGATAGCCTCAATCTGTTAATAGTCATTATGTTGGACGTAAGTACAAAGTTTAAATTGATCCATAATGCATTTCCATACCATGTATAGCAAAAGTCGATAGATTTGTTGCTAGAGTGACGAAAATGATATAGATGATTAGATGTAGGTTATCGCACATAATGACTGACAATGTGATAACGTTAAATAATGTCTAGATAACCCTAAAGATGCTGAGATATGTGCAAAACTCCGGACCGCAAGCTCCTGCAGTAGAGAAAAAAGCGCTACTACCCTTTCTGGAGGCTAAGGCGTTCATCACCACACTACACGAGTCCTTCGTCTCTCCTGTCTCTCAGCAAGTTCTACCAATCGGTGTAAGCAGCAATCACCCAACGGGTCAACGGGATTGATCAGAGAAATCACCCCTGAAGCCAGCTAAGATAAGGCTGTAGTTAAAATCTTATTTTTAACTTTTTATCCGCTGCCTACAACAATTTTTCACGACAGGTTATCACCTGTATCACCAGTAGTCCCGTTGATCGTAGAGCGGGCGCCAGTAAATCTTCCATCTCTCCCTTTCGCATGCAAAAGTATCCCAGTGGGCCCTGCTCGCTCTAGGGACTCAGCGAGCAACATATTTTTCTTCTAGGCTCTTTGTGAAGAACTCTGCCCATCGGGTCGGTGGTCTTCCTGCAGCACGTTTGACATCCCGAGGAATCGAGTCACTAACGGCTCTTGTCCATCGGTTGTCGTTCATACGCATTACGTGTACTACCCACCTTATCTTCGACTACTTGGCGTACAGAACGGCATCTATGATTTTTGCTCGTTGACGCAGACCGGAGCTTCGGATCCCATCCCTTAATTGTGTGGAACGGGATACTCCTAGCATCGTGCTTTCGACTGCGGGTTCGATAACGCTGAGTGACCTTTCATTCTGCTTAGGCAGCGACCAGGTTTCTGACGCATAAATTAAGGCAGTAAGTACCGTTTAGTCAAAAAGGTGGGCACGGAGTCGGGTGTTCTTTATTCTGTTCACTGCAACCTCGATGCTCTTGAAAGCTCCCCAAGCCGCTCGTTTTTTTTTCTCGGCTCTGGAGCTAGTTCGTTCATCATATTGATTTCCCGACCTAGATAGATATAACTAGAGCATTCGGAGATATTCGTTCCGTTGAGCGTCAATGGGGCATGCGAAACCAATCCGTTCTTCATGAACATCTTTTTTGTGAGATTTAGTGGAAGACCAATCTTTCTGCAGGCTTTATCAAAGTCGTCAAACATACGTCCCGCATATCTAATGTTTGGTGTTATCAGGAAGATGTCATTAGCAGCAATGCGAAGATGGTGTAACTGCCGACCGTCGATTTTCACTCTCATATTATCCCATTCCAATGTTCGCATGAGGCTCTAGAGGGTGGCGGTAAATAATTTTGACAGGATGGTATCGCCTTGTCTAACTCCTCTTTTGACGTCAATGTTAATATCGTGGTAGAATAGTGATACCTTCGTTGTGAATTTTTTGTACAGCACATGAATAATTCCTCATGGCAGGGTATTAAGCGAAGTACAACCACTAGGAAACTGAGATATTTGCAAAATTGCAGACCGCTGATATCTGTTATGTGGACCGAACCACTCAATTACTCTTTCCAGGGGCTAACGCACTCACCGCCACACCATGCGCTTCCTATATCACTCTACCTATAGAGCAATAACACAGCAAAGGGGAAGGCGAAAAGAAGGACACGCATCGCATGGTGGTGAACGTGTTACCCTCGGAAAGGGTAATAGTGCGTTCCTTCCCCACCATAGACACCTGCGCTCCGGAGTTTTACAAATATCTCAGCATCATTGAAGTTTTACTTCGCAACCTACCCTGCCATTAAAAAGGGTAGACAGCAAATAAAAAATGACGACAATTTCAAGATAATGCCAACAGCAGTAAATTATGTTAATAAGAATACATTGCCAGAAATATTGCGTCTACTTCAAGAGAACAGTGGCATATTGAAACAATGTTGTTAATATTCAGCTAGTTGGAACGCTGTCCCTCAGTACTGTTCAGCTCTCATGGCAGAGTCGGGCAAGCTGTATTTGCAACTCGGCGAAAGATATAAGAAAAGAATTGTTCGGAACAACGCGATTTTATTGAGCCTTGATTATCAAAATAGTGACATAAAACGAGGCAAACCTGTTTAACATCGATTTTACTATTGGGTGACGTCACTAGATATTTCATTACCTGAAACGCATTGAACGACTTTCCAGAGTTCGACTCGCCACTGAAAAGTTTTTCCTTAGGCAAATTATAAAGAAGGGAAGAACTAGCTTATCTTCCACTAAAGAGAACATTTCATTTCATTTCGATCTAATATAGTGGCACAACAGTTTATGATTTTTGTAAGTAAAATTGCTACTTGAGCGAAGTTGTATCAAGGATAACCTGAGGTTCTTGAAAAAAAATCTTGCGTAAATGGAAAAATATAGTGAAGGTTAGTGGTTGCGTTAAAATCCGTCAAACTAAAAGAATATGTTAATTTGAGCGAGAAATGGAATGTTTATCAGTTTTGTGCCTGATACCGTGGAAAATCGGGTCATTATAGGCAAGGTATCTTGTTGAGAGGAAACTTTTGACCTTTGGAAACACAGTAACCTCACTCATTTCTACTTCTGCCCATAAATACTGTAGGTTATGGAGCATATTGACATCACTTGACTTTATACTATGCTCCCGCTAATGATACACCAATATTCATTCCACTCTACCTGAAAACAATAGTTTCAGAATTGGAACCGTTCCGGATGTTCTCAACAGCACATCTAGCGGGAGTGAAGATGTGCCTAAATAGTAGACCATATCATTATTAAATGTGAAAATAGTCTTGATCTAGCAAAGTTGGTGAAGCATATCCGACAAATCTGTACAAAGGTTTCCTATGTTGAAAGCTGTACGCATTGCTTATTTTGGTAACTTGCTCTAGATTCAATGATTTTTTTTATCCCGTTCTAAGCATCATTCGGGAAAAGTTGAACGATTACAGCAAGCAATTTACTAGTGCGTTAATTCTTAGGCTTCGCAAAATTACGGTTTCTATTCGATAACTTGCATTTTTATTTTTGTACACTATAAAAAGACAAAGCTCGAAGAAATAAAAGAGATTTAAAAAACATTGAAAGCATGCTTTATAAGCAAAACATTTTAAAAAGTTGCCCCAGGCTTCAAAACCGGATGCCATCCAAAGGCTAAAAAAGCATTCGATTTGAATACTTCTGATTTTCATCCTATAATTTTCAGCATTTTAACTTAAGCGAAGAAATCCGTTGGTATCTTAGAACTTAAGACAGTAAGCTCCGTATCCAAAATTTTCCTACGTGGATCAATACCTATAGTTCCCGTTGAAGAAAAGTTATATTGAACTGCAAACACATACGCATATTTGTTTGATTGCTGATATTGTGCAACAACCGAATAGTCATAGATCCTGTATTTTTCGAATGGATTTATGGCCAACAGCACATCACCGACATTGGTCTGGAAAATAACAGGATGTACCATCTTCTTTAAAAAGAACGCTCACTATCGTAGATAGTTAACTGAAAATACACTTACATAGATTCTTTTATTGTTAAAACGCTCCTCGATGACTTGAAGCACGTTAATTTCACTGATATCACTAAAAAATCACCATGTCATAGAATAGATTATTTGCTTCTATGGAGAAAGAAAAGTACCGACATCATTAATAAAAACGCCATTTTTTCGAATTAGTAGTTTTCATTGAAAAAAAACCTAGAATGATTAAAAAATGCTTAAATCGGTTGGAGGAAGTGGACCAATTAATCGGCCGGCAGTTGTGAGTCTTTCTGATTCTCACTATCAGATCTAGCTACTGCTGATCGACCGAAATATTATTAGGCAAAATAAGACCTTTTCAAAAAAAAATCTTGTAGTTTGAAAGGTTGAGGAACAAGCTCAAATAAATATCAAATTTCAAAAAAAACTGGTGTCAAAAATACGAAACTTCTTGTAGAATTGCAAAGATGAACTTAACAATAGGAATTTGGCTATTGTACCTCAGTAGTTAAACGAATAATAAACGAAGCAAAAAAGAAATGAGATCAATGTAAAATTAACTTACGTCAGATTTACAAGATTCTCGCCCATGACAGCATTGTTTGTAACCATTCGAAATTAGTGGAAGCGATGCCGATTTCGAAACTTTATCGTTCCTAAAAGAAAAATCAAAATTCTTCCTAGGAAAATTGTGTGAAAACCCATATAGGACATAAAGCACAATGAATACTCATTCATAACGTATAATTGTTAATTGGAGTTTCGAACATATTTAAATAACGGCAAGAAACATTTTTCTGAGAGTTGCAGATGTCATCGAAACTCCCAGTAGCAAAACAGTACTTCCTCACTCTCTTTGAAAAAGAAAGTGCCTATTTCCACTCATCGGTGATTGCCCTCACAATCTCTCTCAACAATTATTTGTTTCAAATAAGTTTTGACTGATTATTTTACCGTTCCAGAAAAGGATCGCAGTGGTTACCGAGGTTATGCACTCTCTACCCGCACTGCACCTATTGTTTCCACCATGCCACGGAAAAGCCAGAATCCTATTCGTTTCTGCGAAATACTAGTACTCAGCTAAGTTGGCAATAGTCAGTACAATAGATAAATGGGTAATATGTAGACAGATTGTCTGCCACAGTAATAGAAATACTGGCGCAAATGTTCGGGGAACGGCTTCTTTCTTAATTTAAATAGATAACTATTCATAGATAGCCCACTTAACGGTGTACCGTCTCGTTTTGGCTAGGAGGTGTTACTGGGTGTCCAGCTGTGATGTACTGCAAAGAATTCATACCACCTGCAGGGCCTATAAAGCTGAGAAAGACTCCAGTGTTGCCGTTCTGAAGCTCAGTTAAGGTAAACCAATACTAGGAATCACCACCGTCCCTCTTTGTTCTACAAGTGCGGTGGACACATAGGGTGGTGTCGACTGAGAAAGGCATCGGCTAGGCTGGGCTCGGGACTCCTGGAAACCACGATGGTTAAACCAGCAAATGTCTAGCGAAATGGAAGTGTTGCTGGAGCCCTCAAAACCAGTTAAGATGGGTTTTCCAAGAATTCAAGTAACTATTTATAGATTCCAGTTTTCATGCTTTTTCCCATATGAACAATATCCTTGATGTTATCAGGTA